AATATCACCTATACATGCATTTATTTGCATTCACCCTAAATAGGATTTTAATGTTATAAACCCTAAAAGGGTTTTAAAGTGTGTTTTTGTCATGAACATAAATGACATGTGCATATAGGTGATATTTTTATAATCATTTTTGTATCTCATTTTGCATTCTTTTGAGTTCATATGGATTTGCTATGAATTTTCAAAGTTTGGGTCAAACAACTTTGTCCAGCTGGAATGGTATTCTCATGACCTAAAATGCTTTTTAGGGGCAAATTTGAGCACATCAAAAGTCAGGGGGTAAATTTGAGTAGTGGGTTCGAGTTAGGGGCACAAATGTCAATGTTGTATATATGTAGCCCATGCGATTGCTAACAACATTACTAGTGTATATATATAGTTCACACGATTGCTAACAAAATTATTAGTGTATAAATGTAGCCCACACATTTGCAAACCTCGTTTGCTAGTTAATGCTATTATGTTTCAGTTCACACCAGAGAGAAGATAATCGAAGGCATTTATAGCACTCTATGATCTCTGTAACTACTGTTCATAATTGGGAACGAGAAACGGATGCCTGTGTCTGTCCAGGGGGTCGTCTTGGGTGAAATCCTAGCCGTTGCTGCCCATTTATCCTCCCTCTTATCTCTTACGTCGTTGTCAGACGAGGCTGATGTGCAAAGCCCGCCGGTGGATGGCGGCGACGAGCAGCTCATCCCCTCGCTTGGTGGGGTATCCCTGTGGCCGGCCCGCCTTGCACGACAAGCTTGTACCGTGGGTATTTGGACAGTGACTCCTAGCAGTTTTAGCGAGAGTGTCGCGCTGCCGTGGCTGCGAGGGCATCGTGTTGGCCATCTGTGCTGGCTGGCGTGCGGATCTGGACGGGTGTTGAGGACGGGGACGACGACAAGGAGTGGCCGGCCGGCGAGGAGTCGTACTCGTACGCAGCTGAAATTACCAAACTCCGGGGCGGCACCCGATCTGGCCGGCGGGCACCGTTGAGTGAGAAAATGAGGAGGTGAGAATCCATCAGGGAATAGAATTGGACGGCGGGAGCAAGACGACGACCGCCGGGCTCCGTTGATCCTTTTGAAGCCGCGTGCGGTTTTGTAGTCCGTTGGAGTCACGTGCATATGTGCATGTCATCAAGCATTGCACTTGCGCGGTCAAACGGAACGGAACGGAATGGATGTGAACCAAAGCCAGGAAACGCATGGAAAGCAACAGTCACTAGTACGCGTCATCATATAGGACTAGGACAAAACAACGTGTTTGTTGTCGCGTGGGTCCCATCAAACGGCTTTTGACCAGCACCGCCACCACTTGCTAAGGGCATCTCCAGCCGCGCCCCAAGAAGGCCCCCTAGGCGTTTTTTCGTCCGCCGGCGCCAAAAAATCGGCCCAGTCGCATTCTCAAGAGCCCAGTTTTCGCCGGCTCGGGCCGAAATTGGCGCCGGCGGACCCAACCCGAACCCGGCGCGCTGGGGGTCGCTCGGGGGCGCTAGGCGAATCGTTTTTGGCGCGAAGAGCCGCGGGCCCGCCGCGTCAGCGACTCTACTCTCTTCTCGCCTCTTCGTCGTCCTCATCGCCTCGTTTCCAGTGGCGAATCAATGCCAAAGCTGCCGCGCGCTGCCGCACCGGTCAGCCTCCATTGATGCCTCACGGGCGGCGCAGTGAAGGCTGGGCGACGCGTCCCTCGGCTGCCACGCAATCACGCCACGCGTAACGCGCCGGTCAAGCCTACCACGCAGCGTCTCCGCCTATAAAAGTCGACTGCAAGCGCGCCGGAGAGACTCACCCCGATCATCCACCGACGACGCGCTCATTTCTCCCCCTTTCCTCCTCTCGCCGTCACCAGTTGAGAAAGCATGGCCGAGCGTTTCCCAGGCGACGGCGCGGCGGCGAATGGATTCGGGCGCCGTCATCTGCACGAGGACGAGGCTCGCCTCCTTTTCGAGGCCGAGTACCCGATCCCGCCGGACATGCGGGTGCCCGGGGCGTGGAGGATCAGCGTCGGCGGCGTGCCGGTGCCCCCGGTACCCACCGGCGCGGCGCGGCGTGTGGAGATCGCACGCATCCGCTCGTCCCTGCCGCGTGCGACGAGGGAGGGCCCCCGGTACATCCCCGACAGCCCAATCTGGGAGCCATACCGCCGGCACGACGAGCAGCTCGAGGCCACCAACGGCGTCGTGCCCTCAGGCAAGTTCAACGCCGACGGCCGGCGTCGGTGGTGGGGCGTGCCCGGGCGCATGTTGGAGTCCGCCCTCGAGTACATCGAGGGCGGCAACACGTCGCGCCTCTAGTACCCCGCTCCCCCGTCCTTCTCACGCCGTCGGGGAAGCTCCTGGACGCCGAGGCGCATGGAGACCGGGGTGTCCTCCTCCTCGTCCGACGGCTCTCCCTGCCTCCACCTCCGTCCCGTCAAGCCGGAGC